CACCAAACTCTCGTCAGATATGTGTAAGGCAGATGTTAACATACTACACTAACCTCAACCACCATACTCCCGTCAGATATGTTAACATATTAAACTATCCTCAACCACCAAACTCCCGTCAGATAAATATGTTAACATCTGCCTTACACATATCTGACGGGAGTTTGGTGGATGAGGTTAGTGTAATATGTTAACATCTGCCTTACACATATCTGACGGGAGTTTGGTGGTTGAGATTAGTGTAATATGTTAACATCTGCCTTACACATATCTGACGGGAGTTTAGGTGGTTGAGGTTAGTGTCGTGTAAGGCAGATATTAACATATTACACTAACCTCAACCACCAAACTCCCGCAAGATACGTGTAAGGCAGATATTAACATATTACACTAACCTTAACCACCGAACTCCCGTCAGATACGTGTAAGGCAGATGTTAATATATTACACTAACCTCAACCACCGAACTCCCGTCAGATACGTGTAAGGCAGATGTTAACATATTACACTAACCTCAATCACCAAACTTCCGTCAGATACGTGTAAGGCAGATTTTAACATTAGTAAACTAACCTCAACCACCAAACTCCCGTCAGATATGTGTAAGATAGATGTTAACATTATTACACTAACCTCAACCACCAAACTCCCGTCAGATATGTGTAAGATAGATGTTAACATTATTACACTAACCTCAGCCAACTAAACTCCCGTCAGATATCTGTAAGGCAGGTGTTAACATATTACACTAACCTTAACCACCGAACTCCCGTCAGATACGTGTAAGGCAGATGTTAACATATTACACTAACCTCAACCACTAAACTCCCGTCAGATATCTGTAACGCAGATGTTAACATATTACACTAACCTCAATCACCAAACTTCCTTCAGATACGTGTAAGGCAGATTTTAACATTAGTAAACTAACCTCAACCACCAAACTCCCGTCAAATATGTGTAAGATAGATGTTAACATTATTACACTAACCTCAACCACTGAATTCCTGTTAGATTTCTAATTTTGTTTTGTAATAAATAACACGGGAGCTGCTGATTATCAAACTATTTTATAGTTTAGAACAAATATTGATTCCTATTAACATATTAATAGTAATTCATTTTAAAAAAAATGTTGTTGAATGTATTCTTACCGTCCATCTTGCCAACCAGCTTCAGGTAGATTGTTTCGAAACGAAATTACTTGGGTTATTTCATGTGGTAGTTTCCACATGAAGATACACCTGGAAGAATTACTTTATATTAGGTATAAAGTTATTTGGTATTTAAAGCCGCCAGTGGTTATACTGATTGTATTATTAGAAATTAACAAGTTATTAGACCAGTGTTAGCCATTTAATACAGGCAACCATTTTCACCTAAATCAACTCTTAGTCACGCAGTATTAAATTCTAAACAGTATTGTTTTTATAAACATTACAAGAAGTAATAAATCAAATACTGCAAAAGGATTATAACCCACTGAGAATTATAACTCAGTTAGAATTATAACCCACCGAGGATTATAACTCAATTAGGATTAAAACCCACAGAGGATTATAACTCAGTTAGGATTATAACCCACATAGGATTATAACCCACAGAGGATTATAACTCAGTTAGGATTATAACCCACAGGTGATTATAACTCAATTAGGATTAAAACCCACAGAGGATTATAACTCAGTTAGGATTATAACCCACAGAGGATTATAACTCAATTAGGATTATAACCCACCGAGAATTATAATCCATTGACATTGTAGATTGACAAGGAAGCTTATAGTTTGAGTTCCTACACACTTTAAAGTATTTTTCTAGAAATAACACCAATAAAAGATGTGCTATATATTACCCACCCATCTCCAGACACTGATATCAAGAACTTCCCGTCGGTGGTGAACTTTAGTCCAGTGACAATTTCTGAGTGACCAAACATGGATGCAACACGTTCTCCAGAAGAGTAATTATAAATATATATACTCTTGTTGGTGCAGGTGGTGGCCAAATACGCCCCAGTATTGTCCAACACAATCTGAAACAGGACAAACAATAATCCATCCATTATAGTCACAAACACGACAAACAATGATCCATCATTCACAGTCACAAACACGACAAATAATGATACATCCTTCACAGTCACAAACACGACAAATAATAATCCATCCTTCACAATCTGAAACAGGACAAACAATAATCCATCCATTATAGTCACAAACACGACAAACAATGATCCATCATTCACAGTCACAAGCACGACAAATAATGATACATCCTTCAAGTCACAAACACGACAAATAATAATCC